AGCTTAGATTTCAACCGCAGTTCAATTGCTTTTTAATTACTCAGAAATGCTAACGCAACACAGCCAACCACGGAAGTCCAGCTTCCCAGAGGGAGCTAATATTAAACAAAATAATAATTAAATCTTGTTTCATCAAAATCCTCTCCAACAAATCCTACGCACTCCCCAGCACTAAGAGCTCACCCTTTAATAAGGCCTCCATCCAGGCTGTGTGTGCTAAAGGCAGATTATTTGACATTAATATGCACCGGACGATCATCACCATGGATTCAGAATAGCAGACTTTGTTTGCACATCGATATTAGACTCACCAGATTTAATCAAGAAGGTAAACAATGAATAGAAAAAGGATAGAGAATAAAAAGAGAGACGGGGCGACACAGAGTCATTTGGGTTGAGTGACGGGCAAGTCCTCTCGTATTTGACCGACAGCGACTTTATGTGTCGACAAGACGCAATAGAAGCTCTGCAGTTGCTTTAATGCACATTTCTCTCACCTGGCCTCGCATTAATTGAAAAAGGAATAAGAAAAATGCCTGACTGAATATTCATGCGAGTCTGGGTTCATCTCACTCTCATCTTTTAAATATACTTGATATAAAGACTGACAGAACTGTGCCATTAACAAAGTAATTCACAGCTTTGGGGTGGCAGACAAAACTCAGAATTATGTAATATCAAGAAAGTGTTGCTAATGTTTTGAAACATGTAGATGACAGCAGACAAATAATGAATTTACCCTTTTAAAAAGTAATCAATCAATATAGGTATACAAAAGAAGACTTGTTAAATGAACATGATGGTTAGGTTAAATTTAAATATTATTGCAACACTTAATAGAAGTGAGGTGGGTGGGGCAGTGAAGATGGTGAACAGATGGCCACAGGGTCGGAGTCTATCTGTCTCTCTCAATACTTTCTCATCTACATCACCAGCCGTCTGTTCCTCTTACCTGAGCTATTGATCGTCTGCTCTCGACCTCTCAGACCTCAAGACATGGCTATAGATGGAAATAGAACATAGAAAGAGGAGGAAATAGAGAATGAGAGCAGAGAGCACTAAAATTATCAAGAAAACTAATTGAATGGAAGAAAACCAGACATGCATGTGAAGAGATTTATAAAGGAGAACATAATCTATGACAAGAGAGACTCGGGTAAATGAGAAAACATCTTTGCGGAGGGGAAGGATGTTAACCAATATACGAAGAGTTCAGATGCAAAAGCCTCTAAATGCCATTTGAAATTTTCTTCTAGAATGATCATTTTTATCAAGCTTGTATATTTAAGTTCAGTGATTTCACTTAAATGGCAATGATAATTACCTATTAATTGTTATTTAAGTGAAATTTGTGACGCTGTGCGGAGAAACAGAGCTGAGGCTGGGTCCAAACGCAGTGTAGCTTTATTAAACAAACTTAAAACAAGACACTAGAAGCAAGACTCGAGAATCGTGAAAGCACCAACGTAACACACATAAATTCAACAACCAACAAAGACAGGGCAGAATAACAGGGCTTAAATAATCAAGGACAAACGAGCTAGACAAGATAACAAGGGGGCGTGAGAAATGAGAAACACCTGGGATAAATAATAGACGGGCAATAACTAATAACGAAAACACACAAAACCACTTCGTGACAAAATTACTGAACTTTAATATACAAGTTTGATAAAAATCATCATTAAAGAAGAAAATTTCAAATGGCATTTAGAGGCTTTTGCATCTGAACTCTTCATACAGTCTTCTCAGTATTTGGAAAATGTAGCTGCATTTAAAAAATATATGAATGAAAAAAAAACAACAACAACAAAAAGATATCAAGCTACATTTATTTTAAAGACATACAGCACACGCAGACTTTTCAAGCAAAATATATTGCGAAAAATAAGGCTTTTTTTGTTCTCAAACCAATCTACAATTTTGGTTTGATATTTTGTCATCTACTGAAATGACATTCATGTGTGGCTTCAGTGTGCAAATATACTTTGGGGTCCTTTTAAAAACAGACGTCCTAAAGAATCCTAAAGCTTTCTGATGGCTGTCAAACTACCATATCTCACTCTTTTCCATGGCCCTGTCACATTTCTCTCTATTCCTTCTTGTGTTCTTTGTCCATCAGGATTGAAAAACACATTACAGTCTCTGGCTGACAAACCCATTGCCATTCAGCTCAAAATGAAAACTAATGAGAGGGCTCCTCTGTGTTTGCTGATCCTACTGCGTACTGCGTCCCTGAGGAGGGCACTTCCACCACTCCGGGTGATGGAAAGCTCCAGATCCTTCTTTGGCTCAGAAAGTGAACATTGAAAGAGGAGGGCGAATTTCAGCCAATGTCACTCAAGCTGCGCAGCACTCTTACACTGGCACATGTGTCAATGTGTCCGATCAATAAGGAACAATTCTGGCAAGAGCTGCCTCAGCACAAAATGAAAAACACAGCAGAATCATTTGATTTGAAGAAATTGACAGCTCTTTTCAATATAGCTGCACAATATTCACTCTCCCTCTGTTTCTTTATTGCATTTTCTTTCACCATTTGCTTCATCACTAAAATCATAAGCTGATATGGCCCTATTGAGATTTTAGTAGCCATCTTTGCTGAAATTCAGAATTCAGAACCTGATTTATCCATATTTAAGTTCTCCACATTAATAAACCTATATTCATACATTCCAGTGTAAGCATGGGGAACAGTTGTGTGTTTTCATATCTGCATTCAGATTGCGTTTGAGCAAAGAGTATTTAGCAGCAGGTGGTAAAACAGCACTGCACCGCTCCCCATTACACTTCCGCACTGCAAGCTCAGGTGTCCCTCTACAGCCACCGTACCACAGCCCAAACATCCATATGGCCTTGACCTCAGGGAATCCCCTCTGCCAGAGTATTTACAGGGTGTTTGTGTGGATGAACGAAATTAGACAGCCACACAAGCACATGCATACCCGCAAACACCAGCCAACATTTCGATGGGACAGGTGGTGGTATAATCAATCCAGCTATTTACTCAAGCAACACAAACATACTATCTCTGTTCCAAAACGTAGAGAGCTGCCTCGTTGCCGCACTGTCTACATAAGCAGCTGCCTCATATAGGCACAGGCAGCAACTCCACACACCACAGAAATAGCGCTACACACAGAAGACGCATTGCATGATTCAAGCAATTGATTAATAGAGCCTACTTGAATTTGGAATTACAGAAATCTCACAAGCTCACATTTAATTGAAAAATTTCGATTTGTCAACAAAATCAGACCCATAACTGCTGTTTCTCAAATAGAATGATTAAAAAGAAACTGATTCAATAGAAACACAACTTCTAATAGCAGCTGCAGTGACTCAATCACTTTACCAATCGCCAATTGGCGCTTTTATATAGAAGGCGGGACTTATGCCATCAAATTGCTGCACTCTGTCCAATTCATAAACTGGGTCTCTCCGGTCAGTTTTTCTTTTTAATAAACTAAAAAATCTTTAAAAACTCTATAATTCACAATATTGATTGTAAAATAAGTTATCTCACTGCATTTGCATTTTTGAATGTGTATTTTGCACTGCATTCTGCCTTTTTCACAAAACATAGATTCAGAGATATCTTAAAACGTGGCTGAAATTGGGTTAAAAAAAATGTTGTTTAAAAAAAGATTTTTCAAACCCGCATGTCTTTTATTTCTTCTGTACAGTGAAAGTCTATGGGGTCCATTGTTGTATACAATTCCAAAGACCTTCATTCCATGGGCAAAACCAGTTTGTCAGAATGTCTTCTTTGTGTTTCACAAAATAAAGTCATACAGGTTTAGAACAACATAAAGGATCGGGGCAATTGTGGTTGGCCGTAAAATGTCCTATTATACAAAAGGCAAAGCAGTAGTTTTTTAGTATGTGTGAACGAATCAGACTGTACATTTCCTTAGCAAAGTCATTTCTGACTCTTCCCCTTCCAGAACCCTGGTTCCCTCTATATTTCTTATTGCCAAAGAGTGAAAGCCACATAGTGTGGGAGGGACACGCTTACACACACCAACTCCGCCACACACACACACCATACACTGGTGTTGATTATAATAGTGCACCGGGGTTTGCTCTAACACCTTTGCCTACGGAGTCTCTCCCTTGAGTCTGTAATAATGCTTTCAAACAGAACTCTTAATTAGATGTAACAGAGGTCATCTAGAACCAGAACACAAGGACACAAAGATACACACCCACACAAACACTTCCTTCCTTCCTTCTTTCCCCTTAATAAATAACAGACATTAGCCATATCTGAAGTTGAACTTTCTTTCTGATGAATGACCTTGGAAGTCAGCCTGTCAAATTCAATGCTTTTAAAATGCGATCACATTTTACAGCTTGTTGTGAGCAAGATCCAGACAGAGAAGCTGTAAGTATTCATGCCTTTGCCATTTCGAAATTTAATTCCCCAGACAGATTACAGAAATCCTCAGCAATTTCCCTAACGCTGTTGTGTGGTACTCGAACAAATCCACACATATTAAATCCATCAGTGTTTCAATCTTTTCCCAGCCCGCTCAGGTGAACGGTAACAGTTGTCATCAATTTGAAGCCCGTCTGAATGTGTGTCAACGATTACATGTTGTTATGCACTCCCAGAGTCTTATGTGTTGGTGGATGTCTGATACTTCCTATTTAACGAGGAATATTTAACCTTTGCAGAGGTTGCAGATTTTAAGCATCAGTATCAGAAAACGAGATTGGCACTAAATTGTATTCATTACCTTGGTGTGTTTTTGATTAATAGCTGGAGAAAGCTATCCATAACATCACCATACATCACAATGGCAGTTGCTTGGCTGGTGCAGGACCTTGCATTTTTGAGAAGTTACTTGCCGAAAAGGTGTAATTGTAAAGCTGGTATATTTACAGAATCTACCAATCATCACAGCCATTACAGAACCATGCCAACCAGGTAAACCAGACATCCATTATTTTCTGTTACTGAACCTCCTTGTTTGGTTTTCCTCTTTCTCATGTAGGTGCGAGCCAGCGCGATCGCTCAGGATGCTGATCAGAACTATGACTACGCCTCAAACAGTGTGATTCTGCATCTGGACGCTGGCGATGAAGTCTACATCAAACTGGATGGTGGCAAAGCCCACGGGGGCAACAACAACAAATACAGCACCTTCTCTGGCTTCATTCTTTACGCCGACTGAATATATGAGCGTAAGAGAGGAGTGGGAAAGAAAGAGATATAGTGAAAGGAAAAAGGAAGTGAAGGAAGGAGCATCCATCATCCCAGAGCTTTATTTTAATCAGGATCTTTCCATTTCTTCAGCACACATTTTCACAGAAAGAGACTCATTGGAGTTAGGTTCAGTAGCTTTTCTTCGAATCACCTTATTGTTCGATGAAAGACGAGGAAATAAGGTGATAAAAGTGACATTTTTCTCTTTCGATTTGTTGAAAGGGAATCTTTGCTTTTCTTGTTTTAAGACTCCAAGAGTGACTGGCAGAGATCTTTAACCTCATTATCATGTGCTTTTTCTCACCAACACTGTCTTTATTCACAAATATCTAATGTTAAAACTATCCCCTGGCTGGCACCCTGTTGAAAAAAGTATTTATATAATTGTAACGCACATGTCCAATTTGATTTCTCCTTACCTCTGCATTGGACAAAGCACCCCCTGTTGGCTACTGTTGGTTACTGATTTCCATCTGCATTCTTTCCATGTGTGTTGTACTTCATTGGGACTGAATGAATGTCATTCCTTGAAAGCACATTATACTCAATTTAAACAACTGATACTCTTTTACAATAACTCCTTCCCTCCCCTGTCAATTAGCACTCGACCCTAAACTCCCTCCTCTCAGCCACCTTCTGCCCCCCTGCGCTCCTGCGGAAACTGCAGATGACTTTCTTTTTATTTTGGACATGAGTGACAGTAAATGATGCTTATATTTTAGAGACTGCTTATATATTAGTTAACTTAAAGTAGAATGAATGGAGAGCCTGTGATTGACAAAAAAAAAAAAACAGATGGATATTTTTATGTAGCTAAATTATTATTATTATTATTTAAACATAGTAGCATCTGGCAAATATTGGATGGTATTTTGCATTATAAACACCAAATCTACAGTAATAATACTTGATTATTTCCTTTTTGCTTGAGTTGTCATTATAACTTGAACATTACAGTGAAATACAGAAGTCAGAAGTGTTTGTTAAAAAAAAGTTTTGATTTTCAAGAGGGTTGAGGGGTGAGGTGCATTTCTGGGGAGAGTTGAGGTGCGGTTAAGGGGCTTCATTATCACTCAACCATTCCTGCTAACAAATGCAACAACATTCAATGAGAACATTTACAATATTTTTAGTTATTTTATCATGATGGGATGAATAAATGTGAGCAAATGAGGTTTGTTTGTGAGTGTGCGTGTACGTTTGTGAGTGTGAGTGGAGTGTATCAGAACCAACACCAGAGCATGAACTACATTTTGTCTTTGCCACATTATTGGTTTGAGAAATGTTCTATGCTTTAGCAGGTCAAAGATGTGATATAGAGCCAATGAGATTGCATCAGACACATTTAGCTAAGCCTCTACAGAGAAGATATAAAAGAAACAATAAAGCTGTAAATTAAATAAATCTATGCTATGTTTGTCAGTCCTACTCTATCTTTTGGAAATGTTGAATAAATTGAAATAACAAATGGGATATTTGAAGTCATTTGTGGTGTAATGTTGTTGTTTTTTTCTTCTTTTTTTCCCCCCTTTTCGATGCAAGAAAACAGTTTTGGGGGAATAGAAGCCCATTTACATAAAGCTTCCGATTTATCTAATATTTCACATTATGGACAATTTAATACATTCTCTCGTCATTTGACATTACATCAAAATAAATAGGAAAGCAACAAAGATTCCGATTTATGTCTCTGCTTCTTTTCCATCCACAGATTCCACCCTCCCATCCCTCTATTTTTATCTCGTACCTGTCATCTGGCTTGACTCACACAAGCACACAGGGAAAAACAGCTGTAGACTTAACAAAAGCTTTTATTAAGTGTGCCTCATTGCTTGATTCACGTTGTCACCATGTTGCATCTTTGGACACTCTTTTCCAGGACACACTCACACTGGTGTTTTGAGAAGTCACTCCCACTGAGAGAGAGAGAGAGAGAGAGAGAGAGAGAGAGAGAGAGAGAGAGAGAGAGAGAGAGAGAGAGAGAGAGAGAGAGAGAGAGAGAGAGAGAGAGAGAGAGAGAGAGAGAGAGAATGTTGGCAGGTATTAGCAAAATACATCAAATTAATATTCTGAGAGCGATTTTTTTAATAAATAAATGGGGCATTATAAAGAAAGGCAGTTTATTTTTTATATTGAATATATTCTTATTATATCATCTCATATAACATTTTACATGCATTTAATTGTTTTGTCCTGAGCAGTGAAACATTCTCCAAAAATACTACAAGGTTTTTGGTCTCTGAGAATGTTTTGCATATTAGAATTGTTTGTTTTGTTTTGTTTTTACATTTTGGTTATATACTGAGATCCATGACAAGAGATGGAAATGAAAATGAAAATGCAAAATATTTAATATATAGGGGAGAGCGGGGCACAACCTAAAGCTTATTGATTCTCTCAGTTTGTGTAAATCTACTTAGGGTTTAGAGTATACATTTTTCCCACATTAATTTCCTACATGTCTACAATTATGTGGTTTTGTTTTATTAATACAGTCTATACTTTTTTCTTGATTTACCCTGAAAGAATGGAAGTGAAATGTGACAACATGCCCCATAGGTGGGGTACATTTTAACATGTGAGGGGCACATTATAACATCACCATGACAGCTTAAAATGCTATCTGATCTAATAAAAAAATACACAAGTCAAACCAAAATATTTTCTTAATAAAATACAATTATTATTTTTTTTTTCATATACAATAATGTCATTTTTTAATAATAAAAAAAATAAAATAAATTTTGAGTTTGACAACAATCACACCAGAAAACACAGCTATACAGGATAGTTCAAAACAAAATAATAATGAATAATTTCTGAACATTGACTCTCAGTATTTATCTACAGGTTTCTCATGTTTTCTCTATAGACTCCATTAAAGTGTAGAATATAATAGCATATTTCTAATAGGGGCACATTGTAACGCAGTGTTACAACATGCCCCACCATGCACAACTGGGGTTTAAACCCTGCTAGTGTCTTCTGCTTGTTAGCATTAAAGAACTATATCAACTGTTAAACAACAGATTGGAGATTAAAATAATATCAGACTTGTCTCATTTTAAATAAAAACAAAAATTAGAGATGAAAAATTAACTTAAGTAAGAAATGTACTTTTGCTATGGTTAAATAAATGTTCAGTGATATCTTACAAATATTTCTGAATTTTGGCACATTTTTTTTTCTCTATATATTGTTGAAATGGCAACTAGTAAATACATCAAGTTTTGTCATGCCAGCATGTGAGAAGTATTTAAAAAGAGCGTGCCCCGCGCTCCCCATACCATTAATTATTTTATACAATTTAATGTAATAAATTATTTAATTTATTACCATATATTTTTTATCTCCAAAATATAAAAAAATCTAAACATCAAATTCTGCAAGAGGTATGTAAACATATTAGCACATCTGTACATCATTAAATATTTTCATGAGAACTGAAATCGTAAACCCCATGAAACCCTATAAGGTTTGTTCCTGCAAATGTTATTTTTTAGGAGATTTCTATACAACTGACATTGTTGTCTTGTTTCTCTTTCTATTTTCCCTCTGGTCCTCTTGTGTGCTGAGTCTTTTCTCATTCTGAACTCTCTTTACTGAACTTCAACACAGATGCCTGACAATACCATGGGTCAGAACACGCTTTTATTCTCCATCCATTTCTCTCTCTTTAAACGAAATGGTGTGCGCACACACACACACACACACACACACACAACAATGTATTTGGGCATCTCTAGGGAGCCACTGGAAAACAAGATAAAACAACATCATCAGATATCCTGTGCTGCTCTCTTCCTTCATGAGCTCTAACCTTCCAGAGCTGAGACAACTCCAGACTATTGTCCTGGGATCTGTCCTGCTCTGTCCTGCCATCAAAGAGCTTCTGAGTTTCATCTGATCACAGAGCAGTTTAAAGACTGTCAGACAGACCAAATTCCACCTCAGAGGAATTCAGAACACCTGTCTGACAGGAACTGAAGGATTCACTGATTTCCAGGTCTACCGCCATCCAGGAAGTGCTGCTGTATCAAAATAAATGACTTTTAATTTTACACAATACTCTAATAATACACAATAACGAGTACAACAATAGTTAGAATTTTGTTCTAATTATTATAAAATGATATATTGCCATAATATTAATAATAATAATTTCATATTTCCTTTATAGACTGCATATCTGTCATAAGCACTTTACTGTGAGCATATTCATGAGTGGATTAGATTCAGGATGTTTGAAAAGTTGAAGAGTGTCAAGAATCAGGGGCGGCTCGCCCATAGAGGGCGCTGGGGCGCCGCCCTCCCTCCGACCTGTCTGTCTGTTTTTTTAATATATATTATAATTTATCATTTTGAAAAATAATCTTTGTTAATTATATGCTAATAATGGTTTTACTTTGAAAAGTGTTTTGAACTCACCAGAATGATATTTGCATTCACTTTCGTTACTTTGGGTGCTTCTCAATATCCCTCCTCGTCTCCTCGCTCCTCCGTCCTCCCTCCTATGACCCGGAAACCGATCGAGCTCAGCCATCTTGAAGGACATCTCAATTCGATAATTGCACCGTGAGGAGTCGAGGATCGAGGAGATAGGAGGCTTCCTGAGGAGTCATAAGCGAGGATACACAGGTGCATCCTACGCGGAACTGTTATACTGACTAAACGTGACGCACGTGTCAATTCTCCTCCCCCTTCACATCGGTCACAATCATTTTAATTTATACTTTACCTTTGCAGTTTATATAAACCACACATCTCAGATATTTCAACAGTATAGTCTATCTTTATTATTATTTATTATGAATTACCAAACTTCAACAACATAAGGGCAGATCCTTTTAGCGCTGCTGATGACACTGTGGAGTGACGCTCGAGTGATCAAGAATTCCAATGTATATAAAAAAGCTTTTATTCGATTCCTCTGTCCTCCTTTCCTTTCCTTGCTTCCTTCCCTCACGTCCTACAGGGGGTGGAGCTGAGACGCAAGGAAAGGAAGCAAGGAAAGGAAACGAGGATGCACAAATAAGAAATGAGAAGCACCCTTTTATCATGTTGGTGTAGTAGTATAGCCAATAGGCTGTCTTCTCAGGGCGCCAGTTCGCTCAGCCCCACGGTGCTGGAATTTAAGCCAATGGTTCCCCGGTTGCTATGCAAAAAAGTTTATATTTCGCCAATCAGCGCCGTCAAATTTTATGGTTTGGGGGCGCTGAAAATATCGCCCACAGTATCAGATTAGGGGAGTGCACTGTGCACGCGCACCACGGGACATTTTTTTACCTCAGATGAGAGAAGAATGGCAGCGCCAGTGACGTCGAGTGGAAATAATGTAAAGTTAGTCGCTCTGTCACTCACTCACTCACTCACTCACTCACTCACACACACATAAACACTGTTTCACACACATTTGATATTAAAATAGTTATAGGAATATTAATACCTGTGTGTTTGCTTTGTTTTTGATGTTTTTAAGTTCTGAGCTAGATTACTGTTTCATACTAGTTAAAATCAACTTTCTTCTCATACTTGGGTGTTACAATCAAGAATGTTGTCCCACCCTCTCTTTCAGAGCCTTTTCTCTCTCTCTTTCTCTAGTATCAACACATTGTTATCCATTATCCAATTGTCAATTTGTCAAAAATATGTAGTCTACAGCTGGGGATTGATTAAACTAGATTGTTGTATTACCTATTTTTTTTTTTTTTTTGTATTACCTATATTATAATTTATCAATATTATGCGTTTGCACTTTTTCTGTCAGCACACAGAGCATAATAAACATGCAA